CTTTCAATCGACGATTTTGGATGATGCCTTCTATACTGTGTGAAGATTTTCCTTGTTGCGATGTTTAAATTTTCAAGATCAGTTTTGGACCATTTAATGACTCCAAAAGAATATGTTAGTAGTGGAACGCAGAATGTATTTACTGCTTTCATTAAATTTTTTCCATTTAACTGTGTCTTCAATATTAATTTCAATCTCGCTAGGTATTGATCTTTCAACTGTGTTTTCGTTTTGGTATGATTGATGTGTGATGATTGACAGAAACCCAGATATTTGTATGTATCGTTTCGTTCTTGTGCTTCGATTATTTCGTTATTCTGGGTTATATGTGGTACTTGGTGTTGGACGCCTTTTCTGATTGCTTGGGTCTTACATTTCTCAATACCAAAAGACATACCAATATCACCGGAAAATTGTTCAGTCAGATTTAATAGGTTTGTTAACTGATTTTGTGTACTTGCATATATTTTTATGTCATCCATATACAGCAAGTGACTTATTCTGTTTTCTCTTTGTTTGTTAATTCTTATATTGAACCCATAATTGCAACTGTTCAGGATATCGGAGAGGGGATTTATTGCTAAGCAGAACCATAACGGACTAAGAGAATCGCCTTGAAAAATTCCTCTTCGGATCATTATTGGATCTGACTGAATTGTTTGTTCATTTAAGGTTATTTGAAGGGTGGTCTTCCAAAATTCCATGGAACATTTTAGAAAAGTGCAGATTTTAGTATCAATTTTGTATAATTCCAGAATTTTGCATAGCCAGGAATGAGGGACAGAATCGTAAGCTTTCTTATAATCAATAAAAGCAGTATATATTATTATTATTATTATTATTATTAAGACCCACCACTGACCCGGAAATGACCGGCATCAGTGGTGGGTCTTAATAATAATAATAATAATAATAATATATACTGCTTTTATTGATTATAAGAAAGCTTACGATTCTGTCCCTCATTCCTGGCTATGCAAAATTATTATTATTATTATTATTATTATTATTATTTATTCGCCAAAGCTTCAAAAAGTATCTGTATCTAGATACTTTTATCGTCCATATATCTATATCTGTATCTAGATGCTTTTAAATCAATTTTGTATAATTCCAGAATTTTGCATAGCCAGGAATGAGGGACAGAATCGTAAGCTTTCTTATAATCAATAAAAGCAGTATATATTATTATTATTAAGACCCACCACTGACCCGGAAATGACCGGCATTCAGGCAAGACTTCTATCATTACGGGTACTAAGACCAAGTAATGATATGAATTGATTAGATTAACAGAACAACTTTCGAGATTCTAGAATTACAGCATACAAATTAGTCTGCTATTATTCTCTAATCTCACCCCATCCCCAAAAGTCCAGCGTAACTACCGACCATTTATCCGCGCATCACATGAAAAGTGACCTACACTACTCTGACCTACTGGTGCTAATCTAATCTGACTGACATGATCAGACTGTTCAAGAAACTTACGAACAATATGACATGTTCTTAACAAAACAGCTTTTTGAATTTTGACAATTATTGAATCATTCAAATGCAAAGACTTTAAATTCTCAACTAAGCTATTTGGAACTACACCTACATTAGAGATAACTAGGGGTAGAATTGAAATTTTTTTAAGATTCAACATGGATTTCATTTCTATCGATAATTGTAGATATTTTGAAATCTTGGTGTCGTATGTTTGAATAATATTGTTTGTGTTAGGAATAGCAATGTCAATAAGAATGGCTTCGTTCGTGTGTTTTTTGATAAGTATGATGTCTGGTCTGTTAGCTGTAATGTTTAAGTCTGTAAGTATTGTGCGATCCCAGTATAATTTGTATTTGTTATTTTCAAGGAATGGAGACGGAATATAAGTGTAATAGGGTGTCGTATCTTCGATTAAGTTCATAAGTGTTGCTAATTCTTTGTGAATGATTTTGGCTGCGTTGTCGTGTCTAGCTTTGTAATCAGTTTGTGCTAGGATGCTGCAAGAAGAGATTATGTGCTGGATCGTTTCAGGTTTTGCTTTGCATAGGCGACAGCAGTCGTTTTTTATGTTCGGATCTTTGATGATGTATTTTCTATAATTCTTGGTATTGATTACTTGGTCTTGAATAGCAAACACAAATCCTTCTGTTTTATTATTATTATTATTATTATTATTATTATTATTATTATTATTTATTCGCCAAAGCTTCAAAAAGTATCTGTATCTAGATACTTTTATCGTCCATATATCTATATCTGTATCTAGATGCTTTTAAAAGTGCTTTTGAAATGTGATAAATACCATCCAGCTGTGATTGCAAACATCTGTGATATTAATACTCTTATTTTGAAATCTAACGAACCGTGTTTTTATCGTGATTTTGGAAATGCCCCCTATGAACTAATTGATAATTACCTATCAAATGTAAACTGGAATTTCTTAAACAATTTCTTTGATATTAATCAATGTGTAAGTGCTTTCTATAGTATAATCAATTATGTAATCGAAACATTCATTCCGTTAAAAAAATGTCAAAATAATAATAAATTTCCCAGTTGGATAGATAATTCTACTAAATCTTTAATTATACAGAAGAAAATAGCTCATAAGGATTATAAAAAATCTAATTCACATTATGATTACGTGAGATTTGCTCAATTAAGATACGAATGTAAAGAGGCTATTCACAATTGTAGACAATTATATATTGATAAGGTGGAAAATAATATAATATCTAATTCAAAAATGTTTTGGAACTATGTAAAAGCCAATAAACAGAACAGTGGCTTTCCTAAAACAATGTATTATAATGACGTGGAAGCTCATTCTTCATTTGACATTGCTGACTTGTTTGCATCATATTTTCAATCTGTATTTAGTCATCCTGATCCCGATGTTAATTTCTGTGATACTTATTACTGTGATACTGCTTTAGATTTAAATTTTATTCATATCACCTACGATGATATCTTGAAAAAAGTGCAATCTTTTAATAACTCTAGTCACCCAGGACCAGATGGTGTTCCTGCGATCTTTGTTAAAAAATGTCTGCTTTCTCTGATTAATCCACTTCAAATAATGTTCAATAAATCATTGTCTTTATCTGTATTTCCAGATTTTTGGAAAAAGTCCTTTGTCTTGCCAATATTTAAAAGTGGCTCTAGAAATATTATTAGTAATTATCGCGGTGTCTCTAAATTACCATTTATTCCTAAGATCTTTGATGCAATTGTTGCAGATATTTTATTTGCTAGTGTGAAAGAAACTATTATTACTGAGCAACATGGTTTTTTCAGTGGGAGATCAACTACCACCAATTTATTTCTTTTTACGGAATTTGTTACTAATATGAATGAACTGGGATCGGAAGTGGATTGTATTTTTACTGATATTAGCAAAGCATTCGATTCAGTCAACATTAAACATTTACTGAATAAATTAAAACATTTTGGGATATTTGATCCTTTGCTTGGCTGGATAGAATGCTACTTAACAAATCGTAAGTCGCACGTTGAATTTAATGGCATATTATCTAAATCAATTGATGCTTGTTCTGGTGTTCCGCAAGGTTCCCACTTGGGACCTATTCTGTTCTTATTATATGTCAACGATGTAAAATATGTATTTCAAAACAGTCTTTTTCTATTATACGCTGATGACTTGAAATTGTTTCGAGCTATCAATTCTCCCTTTGATTGTATTTTACTTCAAAATGAACTAGATAAGTTTAAAATGTGGTGTTCAGATAATAGTCTTAAGCTTAACGTACACAAATGTAAATTTATGAGATTCTCTAAAAAAATTGTTAAAGTACCTGAATTCAACTATAATATTTCGGATGTAGTTGTAGAACAAGTAGCATATTTTTGTGACTTGGGTGTAATGTTAGATCCAAAATTAGCCTTTACTCTACATGTTGATAAAATTGTCAATAAAATTAATAAAACCTTGGGATTTGTTCTAAGACAATGTCAGGAGTTTACTAGCCTTCGTGTCTTTTGCATTTTATATAATTCATATGTTCGCTCATTATTACAGTACTGCTGTATAATTTGGTCACCTTACTATCAGCTCTATATATATAGACTTGAAAAAATTCAAAGAAAGTTCATTAAATTTTTATGTTTTAAACTAAATGTTATATTTGATAGGAATAATTACGAACTCATACTTAGTTAAATATTTCGGGCTTAGTTTATTAATAAGTCGTCGCCATTACTTTGATTTGTGCTTTGTTTTTAATGTGTTAAATAACCGTGTAAATTGTTCCGACATTCTTAATCTGTTTTCTTTACATGTACCTAATCGCGCCACAAGAGGTTCTCATTTGCTCCAAGTCCCTTTCCATCGCACACTATATGCTCAAAAATCTCCGTTATGCCGCATGGCTAAACTGGCGATGGAGTATAATGATCTGAACTTTTGTGGTGTGTCAATTAATGTTTTTAAGAGGGAGCTGAAGAATGCTTTAAATATGTAAAGTGTAACTATTGTTATGATTTGTAATGGTATATTCCGTAAATAAACTATTATTATTATTATTAAAAGTATATGTCCGCAACACTGGTTATTGTGCACCCTAAAAGTAGGTACCTACCCGAGCATCTATAGACCACCAAAAACTGGACACATGAAAAAATGCTTGTAAATTAGTAAAAAGTATCCAAAAAACCTTAAAAAATCCTCGTTTTTAGATACCCCAAAATTTTTGACACAATTTCCCAATATTAATAGTATATCTGTTTTTTCAGAATTAAATCTACAAGGTTTTTCGCAAAAGTTATTTGTCTTTTGTAAGGGTAACCAGTGATAATAATCTGGATGTCACTATTTTCAAATCAATATCACAGAAAATAAATGCGAATTCATGTACAACAAAATAAATTCAGGACAACGAAATTTGTCAAATTTATTACATTAAACAATTATTATTAAAACAAGAAATTATTATTTTTTTTTTTAATTTAATTCCACACATTAAGATGGATTTCATTAATACATGAGATTAAAATCTTCTTTTCTCGAAAACGAAACGACTATATTTTGGCTTCAGGACGACGAAATATTCCCACTCGATGTCTTTCAATGATTTCAAATCAGGAGTGTGTACCTTGAAGCGTCTCAGGATCGTCGCAAGTATTACTGTTATTGACATCATAGCATATTTGACACCTAAGACAAAGATAAAAAAATCCTACTTCCGATAGACACCTACCTATACAGTTTCTGGCACCAAAACTGAAAGGAATGTACGAACAACGATGCCTTTTTGCAACTTCATCCGGGAGAAACCGATCTGGATCAAATTTTTCCGGCTCAGGCCACACATCCGGATCCTTGTGCAAGTGTATTATAGGAATGTACATGTTCGACCCGGCAGGAAAAACATAAGGATCTGGAAACAAAAAACACATCTTCTATGATCCACGTTTTAAATTAAATTACCGCAATTAATGTCTTCGTCGGCATATCGCAAAATAAAAGGAACTGCAGGACATAATCTCAAAGTTTCCTTTATCACGCGTTTTAGATAATCCAGACGCCTGATCTCTTCCAAAGTCGGATCTTTTTCTATGAGTGGCAGAACTGAAACGAGTTCCTGGTAAACTTTTTCCTGAAAAACAATTTTATCATGGTTTTACAGTTTTTGCATAATTTACTTGAATGTCTGGATTGATTCCTAAAATCATTAAAACCGCGTTGACTGTGAGTGCTGTCGTTTCGCTTGCTGCAATAACCATAAAACACGTTTCTTCTAAAATGTCTTCACGGGTAATCTGCTTAGATTGGTTTAGTTTGATCAAGTGCGGGAGAAAAGGGTCATTTCGAATAGTTTCATCTAAAAAAAAACGTATATATCATATATTTATACCCATCTAACTTTTAAACATGAAAAATCGGTTCATATGGTCTTCTGGTAATTCTGTTAGATGATAATCTTTACTTGACTAGTTATTGTAAAATTGTAAGAACATTTCAATAGTTTAAAAACTATAAATGAATTGCCTACAATGACAAACACATACCATTCCTGTTTTCGGACTCATGTGCTTTGTATGCTTCTGTTACAATCTACAAAGACAAAAATAAAAATGTAGATTTTGTAACATGATAGTACGCACTTTTTCGAAAATTGCACGAAAAGTTTGGCAAGCCGATTGATGCACTTTATGTAAGTTAGATAATTTCCAAATAAAACCAATGAGAAGCCAAAACTTATAGAATCTCTGTATAAGTATCTTTTCAATTCTAAAAATTCTAAAATCAAAACTTGTAAGAACTCTTGGCAGAAAACACAGACTTACTTCACGATGGCTCTAATGGCATTGTGTCTTTCCTTGATGACATGTGGTCTTACGTTTGTCAAGGTTTCTGTTAAAATAGTATTTAACAACAATAATAAAACTACACAAGAACAAATTAATTTAAATATTAAGAAACTCGTCGTTACCTAAAGAAGCATCAAATGTCTGTTCCCAGAGGACTGAAATGAGACCCACTTGCTCGCGACCTTCTCCATCATTCAAGAACTCCACAATTTCTCTTGAATATTTCACAAATACATCGTGAAACGAATTTAAAATCTTCAAATTAAAAGAGGGATTGATGATTTTTCGATGTTTTTTCCAGACGTCGACTGCGAATTTTAGAAGTTGTTACTGTGCGTTAAAAAATGTTTTCTACCTTTTGATGTCACTAGGGTATTTTTTATTACATCGTTCAAATTATCGTAGAAAGGTGACTTATTTAGGCACTTTGTCAAGATTTTTTCAACGTCTGTCGGTCTCATGGTCGCTATATACAATTGTGAACCTATCCAGGCTTTCCCTATGGGTCTATAGGCATCCAGGCTTCGACATAAAATTTCGAAAGCAGCTGAAATTTTTCTCTGTTAAGTGTCTTTAATTTTTAATGTAACTGGTATTTCTCAATACGAACTCACTATCTTTTTTTGCACATAAGATTTGCACAGTGGTCACCAGGGGTAGTGAAAATGCTCCAGGAATTTTCCAAGCGTAGTAAAGCAACCATATTTTTCTCCAAAGAAGCAAAGTGATAATAAATATCACACAAGGGATATAATTCCAGAACGCCATAACAAAAGTAAGTTCATTCAACAACAACAAATTTGAAGAAAACGAGGTTCCAAGGAGGATTTTCTGTATATATGTATGTATCAGTCAGCAGATCCTATTAATATGTAAAAATGTTAATACTAGTAGAGAACATAGAGAAGCGTCATAGTTTAAATCAACTGACGGTTGTGGACTCTTCGCTAAATGTCATAATATTTAAAAGCGACGCGTTTTATTTTCGACAAATTGACACTAGATTTACCAAAATATTACAAGCTGCTTATTATCCATTCACGATATAGTAAAACAGTCTTTGATATTTTTCCTTTAAGTTGGATAAACTGATTTGATGATTTAGTTTTTTGTCTGTCAGTAGAACATGGCCGACTAGTATAAAGTCAAAGAAAACTATTCCTATCCCAACTTTACTCGCCCTGATCTCAATTATGATGAATTTTAAGTTTCTTGTGGTGAACAGAAGACTAGGTATACTATGAAAAAAGAAGGCAAAATACAAGCCCCACCCACCCGCCCCGATCTCATTTGTGATGAATTTTTGATTCGTTGTCAGACAGAGGGGCGGGGCGTAATTTCAAAATCTATATTTGCCTACAAAAATTTACCATTGTAAACATGTTTTTAGTTTCTTCAGAAGGCTACATACACTATAAAAAAGAATGCAAAATGTATATATTTTTCTTAATATGTGTATAGTCTTATTTTCATAACCAGAAACTTAAAACATGTTTAACATGGTAATTTCGTGTAGGGAAATACCTAATAATTTTGGCAATCTTGAGTGTTCACAATTTTTGGGATCTTCGAATCTTTAGAATCTCTGTAATCTTTGAAACCTTCAAAGTCTTCATGATCAGAACTTTTGGAATCTTCAGTTTTCGAAATATGCAGAAAATTGGGAATCTGTAGAATCGCTAATATCCAGAATCACTAGAATTTCCAAAATTTCTAGAGTCTCTGGAATTTTTAGTACCTAAATTTTTTAGAACTTAGATTCCTTAGAATCTCTAAAAATTCTAGGATATAGAGAATTTTTAGAATATTCAAAATATTTAGGGATCTTGGAATCACTAGGGTCTCGAAAAGTCTGAAATCCTTGAAAACTTTGGAATATTTAAAATCCTGAGAATCTTCAATTTTCGGCCTTCGATATATGTAATCAAATCTTCATATTCTTTGGAATCTCTGGAATCTCTAGCTGGAATCCTTTGAATTTCTGGAACTTGTTGGAATCTTTATAATTTTCAGAATTTTATAACATGAACAGAATTGCCGGAATCTTCAGTTTTCGAAATATGCAGAAGATTGAGAATCTATGGAATCTCTAGTCTCCAGAATCCCTAGAATTTCCAAACTTTCTAGAGTCTCTAGAATTTTTAGTACCTAAATTATTTAGAACCTAGATTCCTTAGAATTTCTAAAAATTCTAGGATGTATAGAATTTTTAGAATATCCAGAATATTTTGGAGTCTTGGAATCTCTAGAGTCTCGAAAAATCCGAAATCTTTGAAAATTTTGGAATATTTAAAATCCTGAGAATCTTCAGTTTTCAGACTTCGAAATATATAATCAAATCTTCATATTATTTGGAATCTCTGGAATCTCTAGTCTTGGAATAGTTGGAATCCTTGGAATTTCTGGAACCTTTATAAAATCGTTGGAATCTGTATAATTTTCAGAATTTTATAACATGATCAGAATTGTAAGAATCTTCAGTGTTCGAAATATGCAGAAAATTGAGAATCTGTAGAATCTCTAGTTTCTAGAACCCCTAGAATCTCCAAACGTTCTAGAGTCTCTAGAATTTTTAGTACCTAAATTATTTAGAACATAGATTCCTTAGAATCTCTAAAAATTCTAGGATGTATAGAATTTTTAGAATATTCAGAGTATTTAGGGGTCTTGGAATCACTAGGGTCCTGAAAAGTCTGAAATCCTTGAAAACTTTGGAATATTTAAAATCCTGAAAATCTTCAATTTTCGGCCTTCGAAATATGTAATCAAATCTTCATATTCTTTGGAATCTCTGGAATCTCTAGCTGGAATCCTTGGAATTTCTGGAAATTTTATAAAATCGTTGGAATCTTTATAATTTGCAGAATTTTATAACATGATCAGAATTGTCGGAATCTTGAGTTTTCGAAATATGCAGAAGATTGAGAATCTATGGAATCTCTAGTCTCCAGAATCCCTAGAATTTCCAAACTTTCTAGAGTCTCTAGAATTTTTAGTACCTAAATTATTTAGAACCTAGATTCCTTAGAATTTCTAAAAATTCTAGAATGTATAGAATTTTTAGAATATCCAGAATATTTTGGAGTCTTGGAATCTCTAGTCTCGAAAAGTCCGAAATTTTTGGAATATTTAAAATCCTGAGAATCTTCAGTTTTCAGACTTCGAAATATATAATCAAATCTTCATATTATTTGGAATCTCTGGAATTTCTATTCGTGGACTAGCTGTAATCCTTGGAATTTCTGGAACCTTTATAAAATCGTTGGAATCTGTATAATTTTCAGAATTTTATAACATGATCAGAATTGTAAGAATCTTCAGTTTTCGAAATATGCAGAAAATTGAGAATCTGTAGAATCTCTAGTTTCTAGAATCCCTAGAATCTCCCAACGTTCTAGAGTCTCTCCAATTTGAACTTTTTTTTATTGGATTTGACGGTTTGCCAGAATGGAATTCAATTTTCATCTCACTGTAAATAACATAGTCAATTAAATGCAAAAGCGGGGGTGGGTGGGGTTAGTTACCCTTTTTGTCTAGATTCCTCTGTTTGCCAACAGAAAATCTACTTTTCATCCAATAAAATGAGCGATCAAAAAGAAAACGGGGTGGTTGGGCGGGGATATTTTGAAGTATTTCTTTTTGTATTAGATTTGACGACTTGCCCAAAATTTTCCGATTTTTTGACTTCCAATTTTTTGACTTTCTCGTCCTCTAATTTTCGATTTCTCGCTTTTTCAAACTTTCAATTATTCGATTTTTCCTTTTTGCTATTTCCCTATTTTTCAATTATTTAACTTTTCAATTTTTCAGTTTCTCGAATTTTCAATTTTTCGATAGTTTAGTTTCTCGAATTTTCGATTTTTCAGTTTATTTTTTAAGTCGAAAAATCGGAGAGATTGAAAAATTGAAAAGTCGAAAAATAGAAAAATCCAGAAATTGTAAAATTGCAAAACTAAAAAATTGAAAAATCAAGAAATTGAAATTTGCGATTTTTCAATTTTTGACTTTTTCGTTCTCGAATTTTCGATTTCTCTCTTTTCCAAATTTTCAATTTCTCGATTTTTCACTTTTTCGATTGTTCAATTGCCTATTCGTTGTCTCAGTTTTTTAATTTTTTCATTTCCCAATTTTTCGATTATACAAATTCTTGATTTTTCAATTTTTAGATTTTGCAATTTCTGCAATTTTCAATCTTTTTATTGTTCTATTCGACGATTTTCCATTTTTCTTTTTCTCTATTTTTCAATTTTTTTTTTTGTTCGATTTTTCGATTTTTGTTTTTCACAACCTCGATTTTTCAATTATTTAACTTTTTAATTTTTCAGTGTCTCGAATTTTCAATTTTTCGATAGTTTAGTTTGTCGAATTTTCGATTTTCTTCGATATCAGGATTTCTGCCATTTTCGATTTTTCAGTTTATTTTTTAAGTCGAAAAATCGGGAGATTGAAAAATTTTAAAGTCAAAAATAGAAAAATCCAAAAATTGTAAAATCGCAAAACTAAAAAATTTAAAAATCAAGAAATTGAAATTTGCGCTTTTTCAATTTCTAGATTTTTCAATTTTTAACTTGCGGTTTTTCAATTTCTGGATTTTCCAATTTTATGACTTCCGATTGTTTTCTTTCTCGTCCTCGAATTTCGATTTCTCTCTTTTTCAAATTTTCTATTTTTCAATTTTTCACTTTTTCAATTGTTCAATTACGTATTCGTTGTCTCAGTTTTTTAATTTTTTCATTTCCCAATTTTTCGATTATACAAAATTTTCATTTTTCAATTTTTAGATTTTGCAATATCTCGAATTTTCAATGTTTTTATTGTTCTATTCGCCGAATTTTCCATTTCCCTATTTCTTTATTTTTCAGTTACTTTTATTAGATTTTTCGATTTTTGTATTTCACAATCTCCATTTTTCCTTTTATCTTTTTCTCTATTTTTCAGTTATTTAACTTTTCAATTTTTCAGTTTCTCGAATTTTCAATTTTTCGATTTTTCAGTTTCTCGAATTTTCGATTTTTCAGTTTATTTTTTAAGTCGAAAAATCGGAGAGATTGAAAAATTGAAAAGTCGAAAAATAGAAAAATCCAGAAATTGTAAAATTGCAAAACTAAAAAATTGAAAAATCAAGAAATTGAAATTTGCTATTTTTCAATTTTTGACTTTTTCGTTCTCGAATTTTCGATTTCTCTCTTTTCCAAATTTTCAATTTTTCGATTTTTCACTTTTTCGATTGTTCAATAGCCTATTCGTTGTCTCAGTTTTTTAATTTTTCCATTTCAGTTTATTTTTTAAGTATAAAAATCGAGAGATTGAAATTTGCGATTTTTCAATTTCTAAATTTTTCAATTTTTAATTTGCAGTTTTTCAGTTTCTGGATTTTCCGATTTTTTGACTTCCGATTTTTGACTTTCTCGTCCCCGAACTTTCGATTTCTTTCTTTTCCAAATTTTCAATTTTTCGATTTTTCACTTTTTCAATTGTTCAATTACCTATTCGTTGTCTCAGTTTTTTAATTTTTTCATTTCCCAATTTTTCGATTATACAAATTCTTGATTTTACAATTTTTAGATTTTGCAATTTCTGCAATTTTCAATTTTTTTATTGTTCTATTCGACGATTTTCCATTTTTCTTTTTCTCTATTTTTCAATTTTTTTTTTGTTCGATTTTTCGATTTTTGTTTACCACAACCTCGATTTTTCCTTTGTTTTCTCGATTTTTCAATTATTTAACTTTTTAATTTTTTCAGTGTCTCGAATTTTCAATTTTTCGA